TTTTAATAAGCAGTAATTCCACCTGACTTGAGAATTCTCTTGCCATTTCCTTCCAAAGATTTCTAGGCCCACAGCATTCTGGAGAGTGAGGAATCAGATACTGGCCTTTCAAGGGGGTGGGGGAGAGGGTGCAACAGAGAAATCAATTGGCATTCCTGTGGTCTTACAGCAAGTGAATAACTGAACAGGGCTGCTGATGGAGAGACCTTTAGGTCTTGCTTATGAATTTGACTTTGATTTAAGAGGCAGCTGAGAGCCACTGTGATTTCTGACTAGTGCTTGCTGAATCCAGAGTGAGTTCAGGTTGGATTAATATCGCTGTCCTCAGTGCAGGAAAATGCAGCTGCTTGATAATAAACAGGCTTGCAGAATTGGGTGGAAAAAGACCAGTGTTGCCTAACAGCCCCTTCTGTGCCTAGCACACTTGATTGACTGTCCTTACATTTACAGCTCTCTGTCCAGGCTGTCACAGGGAAAAACTCTTAGAATCTAGCTGGTGCAAGAAGACCTCTCACCCTCATCCTACACCCTCCATCCCCAACAAACAGGAAAAAAAAAGCCTTTTAAATGTGCTCAAATTTTGTGTAGCCCACAGTTATCTCTGTAGTCTGCTGATTCTCCCATGAGAATGCCCAGTGCAGTGCTGCAAATGCTGCAGTAAAATGAAAAAACCAACCAACCAACCACAAAAACCAACAACCCCAAGACTCTCTTCTGCTCAAAAGAGCCATTTATAATTTGGAGCTTTATTGAACAATGTGTCTTTAGTTTGCCCATTTCTTAGTGACTGAGGTATTAGGAAAACATGTCTGCACCTGTTGCAAAGTTTCATTTATGTAGGAGACAGGCAGACAGACAAACAGACAGACACACACAGAGAGAGTATCATCCCGATTTTAGCATATGTGCTATTGAGCCAAGCACATGTACATATAAAGTATCACCCAAGTTTAGCATATGTCTTGATAAAGTAAACAGAATTATATATAGACACAAAGATTTCAAGGTTGGAAGAGTACTAAGAGGTCATCTGGCAAAGCCCTCCATCCTCCTCCTTGTCCCCTGACAGTGGATGCTTAGAGCATCTCTGTACTGCAATACCAAAGTTTGAGCAGCTCCAGTGACAAGCTGATTACTAACTTTCAGAGGCAGCTGGTCTCTCTGGGCAGCCTTTTAAAACAAGGGTCTTATTAAATAAAGTGAAACCCATCTCTCCTATATGTTTTGGCCTTTGGGGGCTGCTTCCTTCCTTTGGCATCACTCAGAACAAGGAATGTCCTTTTCCAAACAGGCTCAACCTTCTTGTCCTGGAGAAACTAAAACTAGCATCATAGTTCTCAGTCAGGACTTTCTGCTACAATGCTTCTTCCCCCTGACTGTTCCATTTTGATGGTGTTTCTAAGGTTAATTCTCCAAGTTGATACCACCACCACCCCATATTGCACTGCTTTTCTCTGCCTACCAAGCAAGCAAAGGCTTCTGGGTTTCTGGGCCCCTGTCGGTCCACTGCAGTGCCATCATTCTGCTTGCCAAAAGCCATTTAAGGCAGCAGGTAAGTAAGCAGTTGGAGGGGTGCATTGGGTTTCTGAGAGGCACCGGTCTAGCTAAGGCAGAAATAGGCTCTAACTTAATAATCTGCTCATCACACACAGTAAGAGACACCCTGACTTATTCAAAGACACTGTGGGTGGTGCAGAGGATGAATAAGCATGATTCACTGCCACTCTGGCACCCGGGGCACGAAGAATAATAAAACCCAAAGAATTGTAGCCGCCTGAGTAGTAAATTAAGAGATCCGGGGCTCAGCTAGACTCTAGACATCAATGTTACCATGGCAATAAAGGGCCCCAGCGTTCAGCAGCTATTACAGAGCAGGCATCTAATAGGCTAGTCTATGTCACAGCCAAAGCCCAAGGGGCTAGCAAAGAAGACCAATTAGCATATCCATTCATTACGGGCCTCTGCACACTTCTTCTCTTAATTCCAATTAGTTGTTTGTTTGAACCAAAGTCTCTTTCCTGCATTATACTCATTAGTGCCTTTTAGCTACTGGAAATAGGCTTGAATTTCCACAAGGACCTCACAATTTCCCAAGTCCTCATTTTTTCCCTAGGGGTCTAAGCTTATACAGTCACAAACCCATGGCCTTCAATCCCTCGAAATGAAAGCATCTCTCACTTTACAACTGTACTCGACAGATGGAAACTTCTCAGGAATGTGATGTGCTAAGGGTTCTTCCTGGAACCTAGTGAAATAGGGATCTGGGGCCATTATCTACGACCATTCAGGTCAAGGAAACCCTCTGGCCTTAGTCAGTGATCCTGCTGGCTATGCCTGCTGGCCACTATTCAGAGGCTAGCTGTTCGGGAGGGGGAGCTTTGGGCACTGGGGACCAGATTGGCATCATCAAAGTCAGGCAGTAATAGTTCCAGCTTGAAGGACTGCCCTTCAAGGGCCAGCCTAAATCCTGCCTATTCCAGGAAGCCTTCCCTGATCTTTGTAATCCCAAGTGAGTTCTTCCTCCTCAATGCACTTTGAAAGGGATACCCTTTGCTGGGCAGCATTTATGGGTAGCCACAGGCCCTAACCTGACCCAGAGCTTCCTTACCCAGTGGCTTCAGAATCCACAGGTCACTAATGCCAGAAGAGACTGGGATTTTAGAAAGCACTCAACAAAACCTGGGTAAATCCAATGGCAAACAACTCTGAAGCTCCACTGCACATGCCCAGAGTCTTCCCAAGGATGTAGCCAATCCCTGAGGTAAGGAAAATTCATAACTGCTCTTTGATGATTCTGGGACACACTGCTCCTGCTCACACACACGTTGGTAGAAATAGCCCACAAGAACAGATGCCATGAACTAGCCCATCTCATGGTAAAGTCAGATTCTCTGAAGGGTATTACCATCTCTTTCTTCCACTGGGAACAGAAGTGGAACAGTTTATAAGATTGTTTCTGTTCCCATTTGCCACTCTCACAACCATATAGTTTTACTGGAGCAGGCAACTAGGACAAAGTGCTTATAAAAGCAGCTAATACTTGTGCCCAAGGAATGAGCATGTACTTTTAGAGGCTTGGATAATTTGTCTTTAAATCTGCTGTCATATTCAAGGCTTCATTTTTCTCCTTCCTCTCTTGCTTTTGTAGACACTGCTCCATTTGCTGCCCCATTGGCCACTTCTGGCTCTATTCTGCTGCACTGCTAAGCATATTGCCTTTTTTCAAAATTGGCAGGAATGAGTTCTCCTTTAATTAGAGCCTTTTGAGCATGAACTCATACAGATTTTTGTTTTTGGCACCCTATGGGATTTGGTTATTTTACCCCACCCAACAGCTGACATTCCAGAAGGCCGTCTGGACTATAGTAGAAATACATTAATATATTAAGTATCTATCAAACCACCAATTGCCTAGAATGTTAGGGAATGAAAGATTCTGGAGAATAGAATATTTTGTTACCTGAAGTCATGTCACTCCAAGTCCCCATTAGTCCCTCTATTCTTGGTTTTTAAAATGTTACTATCATGATCATGCTTTCTTTTCTGCCTTAGTAAGACAAGACCAGTAAACTTATTCTTTGTTTGATTTTGAGGCTTCTAAGGACCTCAAAATTCTCATATTTGGGGCTGGGGTTGTGGTTCAGCGGTTCAGCACTTGCCTAGCATGCGTGAGGCAATGAGTTCGATTCTCAGCACCACATATAAGCAAATAAATAAATAAAGGTCCATCAATAACTAATAAAATATATTTAAAAAAGAATTTCATATTTGCCATCAGGAATCACAAAAATACTGGAGTAGAAAAGGTGTAAGAGTTAGAGCTCATACCAGATAGAGCTCATATCCTGTAGAATATATTTTTGCTTTTATTAAAATCCAAAGAGAGGAATGAATTTCTCCTTTTGTATGTGGTTTCTTTCTCTTGAAAGAAGAGTTTAAGGAGACTTGGTTAAGGAATAGTCCTGATTACTAATGTTATAGTAAACGGAGCTCTTTTAAAAAAATTAACCACAATTGAAGCCATTTTCATCCGAATAGCCTAGACTTAGAGTTATTAAATTTAAGTGATTGTGCTATTTTTCTTGGTTATGAATATGTCCAGAATCTCAGTTTCTGTGACATCCTCAGCCACCTGAGTATAATGGGGGGTGATTTTGAATGAAGGATCACAGACTCCATCCAGGCCTTTTAACCACCCAGGCTCCAGCAGAATGGACCAAACAGACCAAAAATGCTATACAATGTTCTTGGCTGTTTCTACTAATTTTTCTTTTGTTGGATCCCACGTTGGCTTCAGAAGTTACATATGTCTGGGAAACTGACACTGCAAAGTTCTGGCTTGTTCCCTGCCCTGATGCTAAGGGATAAATATAGATCTCAACCACTACAGAAATTTGGCCAGGATTCCAAGGGTTGTGTGTATGAGGGGCAGTGACTGATGGGGCCACTCCGACATGTAGTCTAGAAAAAGGCTTCTTTATGTCTAAGACCCTCTTTGGGTTAGGAAGAGGTAAAGCAGGAGCCTTGCTTCTAAAAGCAGAAGGCATAATCCACATTTTAGGGAGCTCCTGAATTGACACAAATAAGGAATATTGTAGGTGGTTTAGAGTGTGTATGGGGAGGGGGAGGGAGAGAGCAAAGGGAATCTTTCCTGACACCCTAGATCCTTTTGCATGAGATCAGCCTTATGAAAAAAGCAAGTTATTCTTGGCCATCTCCCCTCACCCCCCAACTCCCACCCAATGCCCCACCCGCTGCACACACTGATAGCCAACTCTCAATTGAGAAGAATATGACTTAAGATTTCCATTGGGCCCATTATATCTCAGGAGCTGGAGAAGAGCAAGGGGTGGAAAGACACACGAAGGGGGGGTGAGTTGCTCATCCTCGTGACCCAGAATATCTCCCCCTCCCTGTAATGATGAGCTTGCTTTTCCATAAGGGCTTTCCTTTGATTCGGGGAAGGGGCCAACCAATGAGAGAGGGGCATGTTAGATTATTTTGGGGAAGGGCTCATGCCAGGAGGGTTCACTTTTACCAGGCTCCAAGTGTCCCCAGCAACCAGTGTCTCCTGTACCAGCAGAAGCTCCAGATCTCTGACCCACTTGCTGCCTCCGCGGCGTCTTTGCCCACAGAACAGCTATGAGAAGGCAACTCCGGTCCAGAAGGGCTCCTGCCTTTCCTTACGGTTATCGCTTCAGACTTGTGAGTCCCAGGGAGCAGAATATTTTGCTGCCACTTTTTAACAGGGTGGGTTGGGGGCTATATAGGTCTTGGATTAAGGCTGCCTCTCCTTGGAATGTGCAGAAACAGTGAAGTTTAAGGAAAGGCAGGGTTTCTAGAAGGAGCAGTGAGTCTCAGCCCTCCAGGGCACCCTAAATTGCTAAATGGAAGGAGGAAGCCCCTCTTCCTGTAGAACAAAGATAAGGGAAGGGGAAGATGCCAGAGAATAAGAAGGCTTTCTAAAGTTCTTTTCTTAGGAGCCTAGATTTTGAACAGACCTTTTGGAGTCTGAGAGTGGAGATTTCATTCTGATAGTGCAAAAAAATTTAGCCAAGAGAGAAGGGAAGGAGAAGAGTAAATGAAAGGCACTGCCTACCCAGCTGTCTCAGTCCCTTTGGGTGATAGCTTCTTAGAACCCAGCTGCTCTTTTTCTAAAGCAGAGATTCCAAACTATAACTAAAATCATAGAATCCTTGATAGGAGCTGAGAGGAATCCTAGATACCATTTCTCCAGAACACCATCATTATGTAAAGGAGGCTGCTGGGGCTCAGCATGGCAGAGTGACTTGCAAGTTAGTGGAGGAACCAAAGTGAGAATGAGTCTCTTCATTTCTAACCTCATACTCTTTCCACTCCCTAGCCCCTGATCCACCACTACCCATTTACCACCTTGCCTGCCACTGCACCCTGCTTCACACACACACACACACACACACACACACACACACACACACACACACACACACCTTTGGTTTCACCATTTATCTCCAGGGTGCATTGTTTTATCCAAAAGTTTCTCTGCATTTACTTTGGTCTAAATCATTAATTTACGCCCCATTTGGTGGGGGAGGGGATGGATATTCTTAAGTCTTCCTCAGAGATGATTATGATCTGAGCCGCAGGAGGAAACAAAACATAATCCATCTTTATTTGGATATGACCATTTATATAACAAGGGAATTAAGTGAAGACTGTCAACAGCCAGAAGAAGAAGACATGACTTCTTCTAACCCCACATCAACTACTCAGGGTCCCCATTTGCTTTCTAACTACAATTTATAGAATCTTTCTTTTGATATCCCCAAAGTCCCTTCCAGCTCTCAGAGCAGTCATGGTCTATAGGACATATCTAACCATTCTTTACTTGGCTTCTTTTTTATGTAATGCTGCTAAAGTTGTGGATAATTTCAATTACTTGGGTTTTAAGTACATCAGAGGATCTTACTCTTTATAATACTTGATCAGATTTAAAAATTATTTGATGTAGTTGTATGCTTAATTTCTCTTTTTAAATTAATCAACCACTCAAGTGTTTACAGGGTGTTACTCAATGCAGGGCACAAAATTATCCTTTGGGTCATATCCTTGGTCATGTTTATATATTTGTTTATATGTTCATATATTTAGATTGCTCAAAATGGAGCCACCCCCTGTCCTTCAGACTTCCCTTTTAGGGAAACATGATGGCTTCAGCACACACCCACTACCAAACCCCAGCACACTCACATACTCTATCACATGGGGATAGCACCACTTTAGGAAACTGAAAAAAACAGAACCTTGTGGGTAAACATTCTCATAACCAAATGATTCTTTACCAACTTTTGTTAAATAGTTGCATGAAAGTACATTTTTACACAGGATTTAATTAACGACGAACTTTTGGGGAAGGCTCCTCTTATACAATGTGTACAATATCAAAAAGATATTTGAAGTTCCTAAAGTAAGGCTCAGGTGGTGTAAGATCTGTGGTGTAAGCTCTGAGAAGATTAATTCTTCCCGGGAGGGTAAGGCTTTAATGACAAGCCATTTTAATAGGATTATCATGAGAGCTCATACCTACAAATAAGATCAGGTTGAGACCATGGCCAGCTGTCTCCTCTATAGACTAGAGGTGGAAGGCAGATGTAAGCAACAAGAAAAACAGTTGTTCTGAAAATATAAAGAGAATATAAATTCATCCATGATGAAACATTACATTTCAAATTCTCAAAGATTCTCAGGTGTAGTGAACTCTAGGGGCTATGATGACTACCCATTCTAGTGCACATGATTGCTGAAGTTAAGGTGACAAGCTTTGTGAGTGTATTTCCCCAGAGTCCTACATCAGGACTCTTAAGTCAGGCAGGTATCATTGATATTTAATCAATACTCACTGGGTACATAGCTGTGGGCTTCACATTGTGAATGGACAGCAAGAAGTTAGAACATATAAACCCTCCCCCTAGCTGCTCAAAATGTAGTTCGGAAGGTCAAATGTGTAATAGGTTCACACACAAGTGAAAGAGATATAAGACCATTTATTAATCCATTCAACATTGAGTGACAGATGAAGTTTATTTTCCTAAGCCTTATATTGTGAATTCATATTACAATCAGAAATCCTTGGTCATAAGTGCCTACAATCTCTTGGGAACACAGAACCCAGGACATTATCATTCTTCATAAATCTGCTAAGCAACCTCTAGGCACTTATGCTTAATGTGATGGAGAAGAAACATCATTGTCCAGAGTATCGAGACAGGTTCTGAGACTGTCTACTCTGTTATGAATTTGCTGTATGGCAGATCCTGTCCCCTTTCTTGGCCTCAAATGGACAAGAAAATCTTGGATGTCCCTGTCAGTTTTGATATGCTGTATGATATAGAGCTATACATTTGAACAAATTAGAGAGCAATTCAAGAGTGCTTATAATCAAGAGCTAGATAGTGCTGGGCAGACTGAATGGTGAGAGTAGAGCCTTGTCATTCTTTATCACTTATGCTGATTTTGAATGATCCAATTTGCTGAATTCCCTCACCAAAGGCAGCATTTTTAGCTGAGTGCCCTCTAAGTGGCCTTTGAGGAATCAGGCAGGGAGGGGGCAGCAAGGAGCCCCTGGCCTCTAGCATTTGACATATCCAACCCCAACAGGTGCACAGTCCCTGCCAGTCTTCAGACTTGGACAGCAGAGAGAAAGGGAGGGTGGCCTCATTTTCTGCTGCTGCAATGAGCCTTGGCAAACTCCCAAAGAGCAAAGATACAAGCTTCCAGCCTGTAGCTGGAAGGCATTTGAAACACCACTTGGTGAAGTCTGGGTTTTTCTTTTTCCTTTCTTTGTATTTTTTAAAGTTTCTTAGAACTACTTAGAGAAGATTACAATTTCATATCTTAAGAAATGGCTGCAATCAGTCAATTAACAAATAGATATTGAGCACTTCCTATGTGCCCAGCTTTTTGCCTAGGTTATGGGGTTATGGGGTAGGGGTAGAACTGGGAAAGTTATCTGTTGGGGCTCTAGCTCTCAGGTTGTCTGTCTGTCTAGCTTAAGGCAGGAAGGGATTCCAGCTAGGGCAGTAGTTAGAGAAGTAGCAAATAAATCCCCATCTCTTGTTTCTGTTGGGAAGGCAGTCCAAGGTTTGAGGAGGGGTATAGCAGTTGGCTTCTTCTCTTGATGCCTGTCCCAGGGTATTTTTAGGAACAACTTGGGATGGTGAGGTTGAGCAGCTGAAAGTGTACAGGGTGTTAGGACAAAGCAGGCAAGGACTGAGAATTTGCCATCATAGACATAAATGTCTAAGACTACTCCATTCTCCACTGTGAACTCAACTCTTCCCTGACAGGTCAAAGTTAAGCATAAGGCCAAGGCCCCGAGACAAAGTATTGACAAGAGATGTCCTAGGGGAAGAACCGAAATGCCTAAAGCTGAGAATAAAACTTATACCTCTATGGAAAGAATACTTACTCAATATGGGTCATAGAAAGGATATTTCCTCCAAAAGAACAGAAAGAAAATCTACCTCTTGTAACAATGGATGTTTTGGGGGAAGTGGAAATTTGAAGTGTTTTCAAATATTGAGTTGTTCCCACTTATTTTTGGCTGATGGGATGTGCTACTGGAAATTTGTTCAAAAAGGAGATTTTGTTTTGTCTCTGTTCCAGGATGATCAGGATGAAGTGAATCAGAACTACTTAGCAGATGAAGAAGAAGAAGCAGAAGAAGAGGCTCGGGTGATGATGGTGCCTGATTTGGAGGAGGATGAAGAAGAGGAAGAGAAAGAGGAGGAGGAGGAGGAGGAAAAGGAGGAGGAAAAGGGTCAGGGTCAGCCAACAGGCAATGCCTGGTGGCGGAAATTGCAGATCATGAATGAATACCTGTGGGACCCGGAGAGAAGGATGTCTCTGGCCCGAACAGGTCAGAGTTGGAGTAAGTCCCATTTGTCCCAATGCCCCAGTCTGGTGTCCTTCGCTTTTGGTGTGGTATCCAGGACTTCTTTACCATACACTGGATGGACTTGTTTGCAAAGTTTTCTTAACATTTCACATAAAAGCACTGATACCTAAGGAAATGTCTGGACTGTGGACAGATCCAGCAAAACAAATTCCAAATAGATGAACAAACTTGATTGTGTAACTGAAATCCACTGGGCTTAATATGCAATGCAAAGAGACAGTGAAAATGAGTTGAAAAAGCATAGGGTTTTTTAAAAGTCCCAGCCCTGTCATTTTCTATCCATGTGACATTGGGCTCATCATTTACCTTCTCTTAGCCTCAGTCTCCCCACTTGCCAAATGAAGCAAACAATCCCTGCCTTGTTTTTCTCACAGGATCAGCGTGTTACTCCAATAAAATGCTAAAATTGTAAAGTTTAAAGTACTATGCAGAAGACCTATTTCTAGGATATGACCCAAGTCTCTGTTAACCTGATCAAGGGTTTATTTATTTATTGGTACTGGGGATTGAACTCAGGGGCACTTAACCACTGAGCCACATCCCCAGCCCTTTTTTATTTTTATTTTTTTATTTTTTTTTTATTTTTTTTTCCTTTTTTATATTTTATTTTGAGATAGAGTCTTGCTGAGTGGCTTAGCACCTCGCTAAGTTGCTGAAGCTGGCTTTGAACTTTCGATCCTCCTGCCTCAGCCTCCAGAGCCGCTGGGATTACAGGCATGTGCCACTACGCCCAGCCTGATCAAAGGTTTATAAAGCCTTATCACTTCACCTCATAATGTCAGAGAAGAAGAATTAAGATGCCTGTCCCTGGCCTCAGCTTGGGAGTGCTTTATTCTCCCATGGTAGACACAGGGGAATTAGATTGAACAGAATCATTACCAAAGATTAGGGCTGAGCTTCCATGCTGTTTGCTCAACAGCAGAATTTTGTTCCTTAGCTTTTCTTTTTTGTCACATGATCCCACTATTTTTACTTCACAACCTCCCCAGCACTGCTTCCTGGGGTCCTACTCACTTAAACTATTATTGCTGGACCTTCTCCTCAGGAGATTTTTGCCTGTAGTAAAATTCACACTTGCTATACTCTACACAACCCAGAAGCAGAGAATTTGCTGGTTTGGAACTCAGTTAATCCACAAGAGAAAAAAAAATAGAGGACGCCATGAATGAAATAAGAGTGCTCTTATTATGCCAAGGGTCTAGCTTGCTGAGGTTGGTGGCCATGCCTTCCAAAGGCCCCTGTGACTGAGAATTTTCTCTTTTGTATTTAATGTGGCTAATTCAGTGTAGTGAGGGTAAAGCAGCCAGCCCTGCTTCCTGGAATTAGGAATAGCAGGTGTGGGGCTCTGAACAACACTCAGCTCCCAGTCACCCCTCCTCAGTTCCCAGCTCCACCCCTGCCCATCCCTCGAACTCTCAACTGGAACAAATGTACCATTATACAGACATTCCAACATTCTGGAACCTGCAGACAAATGCTGGACACTCACTGGGGCTGCAAAGGGGCACAGCTGTTTCTCTCATGCCTAAAGACGACTGGAAAACAGGCCATGTGAAATGCAAGTGTGATTCTGGGAGGAGGAACCATGCTTTAACCCCTAAACAGCCAGCTGCTGGAACTTCACCAGATGAGTTGATCTAAATTGTTCCTGTGGAAGATAACCCAAGACCAATAAGTGGGGATGAGGGAAGAAGTTCCGAGTACCTGGAGAAGATATGGCAGTAGAGACACTGCACAGTAGGCCCTAGCCAGACACCGGGGTAGCAGGTCTAAGGGGAGCCCGGCAAATCCAGCTTCTTCTGTTAAGCTACTCGTAGGCAAAGGCAAACAGCAATATTAATGCTTAGACTATAAAGCACATGCCTTGCTGCCCTCTTTCCTGAGAGCTGGATGTCCACTTGAGCATTTACTAACCCTGTTCCAGCCTGGACATCAGCATGTTCAACATATTCACCCAGCCTATTAATATACTCTGGGTTTTTCCTTTGGTAGCTGGGCAACCTGTATTCTTAGGACCTATATGTTATTTATTGGATACTGACAAGAATCATATGAGGTAGTAATATTATTATCCCCATTTTACAGATGCAGAAACTGAGGCTTAGAGAGGGTAAGTAACGTATCTAAAGTCATATAGTAACCAAGTGGCAGTGCTGGGATTCAAACACCAGAGTTCATTCTCTTGCCAGAATATCATACTATTTTCATGAATTGCAACAATGAACAAGTCCCTGAAGGGGACTCAGGACCAGATGGGCTCTTCTGAGATGGCTCTTGCTGTTGATTCATTCCCAAAATGGGGATGGGGGTGGAGGAATGGAGGAGGAAGCACAGGGTACATCCCATTAGGGTAGCCTGTGGGTAACAGCCAAGTATCACAGGCACACTGGCACTGTTGTTTCTTCTCCAGGGACTCCAACTGAATCAATGTGCTCATGTTCCAGTTCTGCTTTAGTTCATTTTATAAAACATAAAGGGTAATTTCCATTTCTAGTTTGATTACTCAGGGTTCTTCTCCCCACCCCACCCCTCTTTCTTTCTCTCGCAGTTAATTTTATTTAGTTTAGGGTTCCATTTAAAAATTAAACATTTGAATTCAGTTTGGAGTATAGCAAAGTTATGTGGTTTGTTCTAGTTTCTGGTTCATGATTCAGTTGGGCCTATCATAATGATGACTGCCATTTATAGAACACTTAGTATCTGTCAGGCTCTGTACTATACTGTTTGTATGCATTATTTAATGCTAAGAACTAAGTGCTATTATTATCCTTATTTTGCAGATAAGGAAATTGAGGCCCAGAGAAGTGAGAACAGCACATCCAAGAGTACAGAGCTGGAAAGTGATACAGTCAGGTTAGGATGTAAGAAAGGCTGAATTTCAGATATTGTTAGGGATATAGATAAGGAGATAAAGTAGGTGCTAATCTTATCCTCATTTTACCTGTGGAGAACAATGGGTACAGAGAGGTTCTATAATTTGCCCAAGCTCACGGACAGCAAGTGTCAGTGATTAAATACTGTTTCCTTCTCCTCCCTTCCCCACCCTATGTTAGTTTTTTTTTTAATTTTGAAAAGCAAAGCCACTTAAACTTTGCTAAAGATGAATAAGATTTGAAATAATTAGTATAAAACCTCACTTTGCCTTGATTAGAGGCAAGTCCAATGGAAATTAATCAAAAGTTTGAAATGCTGTGAAAGGAAATGCTGTTTTCATCACTTGCAAATACATATAATCACTGGAACCAAGCTGCTAGGACACTTCAGGGCATCTGCTTTAATGAATAGTGAAGAATGATTTGTACTTAGGACATCAGCTGTTGCCCAGAGGACTCTCAAGCAATTTGCCCTCTGCAGTACTTTAAACTCCACTCCCTGTAATCTTGTTTATGGTCATCATGTGCCCAGCAAGCCCTTCCATCTGGAGACACTATGAAGGTAAACTGCAGTTGGACTCCTGGCAAAATCCTCACCGGTTCCAGATTGGTAAAATCTGAATAAGCAAGGACATACAGAATCTGGGGAATTAAAAAAAAAAAGCCATCTCATGTTTGGGTTGGTTCTGGATCCTGAGTTCAAAGTGGGGAGGCAAGGCTTGTTGGTGAGCACTGACCACTGTCATTTTTAATTGCTCTGCAGGCCTGGTTTTAGTCATTTACTTCTTCTTCTATGCCTCCCTGGCTGCTGTGATCACCCTCTGCATGTATACACTATTTTTGACCATCACTCCTTACATGCCAACCTTCACTGAGCGGATGAAGCCTCCTGGTGAGTGTGCCCAAATGCCCTATGTTGTCAGGACTCGCTGGACAGAAATCCGCTTGCACAGCATGTTCAGCCTCAATTAACTTTGGTTCTTCCCGGTAATGACTTAGAGATTCAATTATTAAGAGTAAAAGTAAAATGGTACTTGGCAAATTATGGTCCTTTTCATTTTGATTGCCTGGGGGGAAATGGTTTCATGGGAATCAATACAAAAAAATTATCCAAGAATGGGTTAATATATCCAAGACCTGTTTTCATTGCCAGGAGTTATGATCAGACCCTTCGCCCATAGCCTTAACTTCAACTTCAACGTTTCTGAACCTGACACTTGGCAGCATTATGTGATTAGCTTAAATGGCTTTCTTCAGGGTAAGTAAACTCCTCTGAATAACAGAAAACTCTCTTGAAAGATGATGAGTGGGAATTCATAATTCGAAATTCACCTAACCCAGAAATTCCAGGCTTACTAACCAACCCCAGTCTATCATGGTCTTTCCTTACTTTACATCCCCCCTCAGCACCCTTCATACTATTGAAACTGCTCTAGTGTATGATATATGTTGCCTTGAGAGCACACAGGTCAATTCCGCAGCTAGACAATAAGCTCTTTGAGGCAGAAAATATGCTTTATGTTCATGAACACTAAACAGAACCTAGTTAAGTCCTAAGCATATCCGGGTGGTTAGTAGTGATTACTTATAAAAGGTGACTCAGAGTTGGGCATGGTGGCACATGCCTGTAATCCCAGCAACTCATGAGGCTGAGGCGGGATGACCACAAGTTTGAGGTCAGCCTCAGCAATTTAGTGAGACCCTGTCTCAAAATTTAAAAAAAAAGTTAAAATGACTGGGGTGTAGCTCAGTGGTACAGTGCTTGCCTAGCATGTACCACTGAGCCCTGGGTTTCATCCCAAGAACTGAAAAAAAAAAAAAAATCGGGAGGGAGATAGTGAGGAGTAAAGGAAAATGTTCTTTAGAGCTGGAGAATTCCTGCCTCCTATGTTTTCTCATGGTAAGAGAATGTGTTTATTGGAGATGGGCTGTCTAGAAGGGAGAAAACAAGTGTCTTTAGCAGCATTCCAAAAAGGAGTCAGAGGAATAATCTCTGGGTGGCATCACTCCAGTATTTTGATCTCAAATATTTGAAGATGCCTATCTCTATGTTATCAGACATAATTTCAGGGACAAAATAATGGCTTTGTGGGAGTTCCAACACATGGTAAAAGTTGAGGTTGTAGCAGCTTGGTTAAAGTTAAATCCAGAGAACCCAGGTTGTGTATTTACCCAACTGTCCGAGGAGCCCAGTGGAGTTTGTTTTGCTGCTCCCAATCTTCATAGAAAAAAAGTTCGTCAAACTGGTTTGGTTGATCTGGTCTGGCTAAAGTGGGGGATGAGGGTGCCTAGAAGAATGTACACTGAATTAGAAGGATAACAATTTTATGTACCATGAAGTGTTATTTGAAATAAATGAATTTTGTCATTCAACTTTAACCCTGCATAATAGAGTCCACTGTCCTTGTTTTACAAATGAGTGCATTGAGACTCAGAAAGGGGAAGTAATTCGATCAAAATCTCCTAGAAGTAGAGCCAGTGATTGAACCAACATGTTTTGATGTCCTTGAAACTCAAAAGGGTTTTCCAGGGATCTGAAGCATGGGCATTACTTAGGACTCTTAGAAAGGCCTGGTCCCACCACAGAGTTACTGAATCAGAATCTGCATTTTAACAGAATCTGCAGGTGATCTATATGTTTTTCACAACTCTACGCTGTTACCATCTGACCAGGAGTTGAAAACTTAGCTTTGTAGTAATAATGCTCAGGTGTTATTTTGGGTAAAACTGAGCTTCAGGTTCTTTACCTATAGAATGAAGGGGGCTGGGTTCTTTCTGAGTCCATATAGTTCCATTCTTAGCCACAAAAATGTTTTGGGCATCATAGCTAGCACAATATCTTCTTTTCTTTCAAAATGCTTGCAATTGCAGATATGTATATGTATTGCAAATATGTATATCGCCAGAATCTCTGCTGAGGAAACCCATTTACTAGCTGATGAGAAGCTAGTAAATGGAAAAATACCAATTGTGACCTGATGATGGAGGCAGGGAATGTTAAGATAAGTATTGGGGGTTTTGTTCCTAAGAGTAGATAATATGTCCTGCTAAAAAGGAACACATCTCTGAAATAGACATCCCAGAGTATCAGTTTCATTCTCATGAGGACTGAGATTTTGCAATAAGGGTCATGCCCATGTCACATTATTTTTAATGGAACTACCTCAAGAGAAACAATGAGCACATGATTGCAGTTTCTATTTAGAAAGTTATTATTTGAGCATAGCTCCTGTTCCTAAAAAAAAAAAAGAGCAAAACAAAGACTTGAATTTAATGTAGCATTGTCAGAGAAAAATAAAGGCATAGCCATAATTGGAATAGATTTAAAATTCCCAGTTGTCTCTTAGTAATATCAAACTCAAGTCACAACCTGTCTAGATATGGATCCAGCATTTCATTTTGAGTTTTGCCTCTGGTGGCTCATAACTGCACAATCTCCTTTGAAAAACTGTGCTACTTTGAACATGAATACATGGGGGCTTTGTCTAACAGGATTAACTGGGTTCCATCAGTTAGAACCAAATTGGAAATAATGCAGTGATTTGCAAAGCCTATTTTCCTAGTATCTGGTAGTTGAAAGAGTGAACACATAGCTCTCTTCCCTTATGTGTATTTCTTGGACACCTATTACATTCCATCGAATGCAAAGGGACACTAACCTAGGTGTCTCGGGTCTCAGGAGACAAGATCTCACCCCTTCACCTTCTCAGTGGAGACCCTATGGTTATCACTGGTTTCTATCTTCAACCTAAGCTCTTATTTTGCAGTGCTACCTTCCCACTGTTAAAAAAGAGAAGCTGATTTATTTTCTCCTCTTCCTTCTCCTCCTCCTTCTCTTCCTCTTCTTTCATGTTCCTTCTGTTCCACAACACATAATTCTCACTCTCTTATATCAGGTACCTCTCATTGACCTCGAAAGGAGACATTTCCTAAACTGAACTTAAGGAAATTTAACCTAGGAACTTAGCCTCCTTGTATGTGCCATGCCTTTTCACAACTCAGTCCGTCTTCCAAAATCTACCAACTATATACCCATTCTTCACCCAGAAGTAGAGAAGCTAGCCCTTCAAGTTTACAATGTATGGAAAGAAATAGAGAAAAGTTATGATGTGGCCAACATGCGACCCTGAGATGGATATCCAGAAATTCCAAGCAAATGAGAAACAAAGGGAGCAGGCAATTAAGTTGGCTGAGGTGGCTAGCCAGGAAGCCACACATCCCACCCGCCCAGGGATATTGCTGATGAAGGCCTTTGGGCAGCTCATGGCAGGTCAGAAGAATTACAGTAGACTTGGGTTTTCAGAGGGGGATAAGCAAGGTAGAGAAAAGAAATTAGGGAGAGAGGACTAAAAGCATGGCCTTTCCTTGTAGCACTTGTCTAACACCACCCTTTGCCACCCACATGTGCTTTAGGTTATAATGACAGTCTTCAAGAGGAAATGAATGTAGATTGTCCTCCAGGGCAGTACTTCATTCAAGATGGCGATGAGGATGAGGACAAGAAAGCCTGCCAATTTAAGCGCTCCTTCCTAAAGAACTGCTCTGGTCTGGAGGACCCTACTTTTGGATATTCTACTGGACAGCCTTGCATCCTCCTAAAGATGAACCGGGTATATTAACCCCGATATCTGTTGTTGATAAGTGAATGAGCTGTGTAGAAGGGCTCTGAACACTATTTGTTTTGGGCTCTGGTCTTTACTTAAGCACTGCAAGTCTGGCCATTCTTATCAACAGCATCAGAAATGCAACCAAACAGTCAAGCTATCAGTTCCTTTCTCTCCCTGAACAGTTCCTATTGCCACATCTCAAACCCACTCTTAAACCTACCCCATCGATGGCGTCTATCAAGAATAGAGTCCTGAGATGTTTGGAACAGAGAATTGAAATGGGGGTGTGGCAGGGATGGTTCTTGTATCATTGAAAAAAATGCATTTTCTCTTGTCATACCCTAGATGTGGCAGAACTTTACCCAGCACACTCCTTTTGGAACCAGAAAGTTCTTTACATCTTTATGGTTATCTGCAATTTTCCCTCAGGCACAAATACAACATGGAGTCAGCTGGGCTGATCCACTCTGAAGATGTTTAGCCTTTTCCACTATTCATGACATATCTGACAGGGCAAAGTAGATGTAGTTTATGCCAGAGGAAAGATGACTCAATGGGGGTTGAGAAAAGCCTCATTTTTTACTGTTAAATCTGTTTTTTAAAAACTACTATTTTCTGTTGTTGTTTGTTTTTGTTTATTTGGTTTTGCTAGATTGTAGGCTTTCGTCCTGAGCTTGGAGATCCCGTGAAAGTTTCCTGCAAGGTTCAGGTAAAGTGTCCTTTTGAGTAAGCATTGTTAGCACATCTATTTCACCCAAAAAAGTAGTTGATCCCTTCCATGCACTTACACAGGGATAGTGCATGTTAGGGAAAGTGTTCATATTTTTCATAACTATACCTCTATTAGTGCCTTCAGGTCTTCCTTTTTCTGGAAAGCATTCAAAGCATGTGTGTGCAGTGCATATGTGTCTGTAAGAGAGAGTTGGTGTGTCATGATTTATACCTGTGAAAGCCAAAGACTGAACCTCAGCTAGGAGCCACAGCAGGGAACAATAATGTGCCAAGTCATTAATTGGAATTCTGTTTACACTTTTGCTTTTAGCTCTAATTACTTGTTTCTTTGAACTAAACAAACAGCTTTCATTAGAGTCATTAGTCCCTGATTTTAAAACTGAATTTCACATTTTGCAGCAATGACCAGTGGCACTGGGTGTTGCAATAACAAATGACTACAAGGGAAGTATAAACAGAACTTCATTAATATGCTAATTAACTGGACCATTAACTCTTATCTCATCTGCACCAATTAGCTCCTTTGTAAGAAAAAGCCCTAGATCTTGGATTTGCTTCTTAAACTGGTAGTAGCTCCCTCCTGTAAAGTGACATCAACTGCTCTCCCAGCCTTGGACAGTTGTCTGGCAAATGTGAGTGGCCAGGTAATCCCATTCTCAGTACTAGAAGTAAAACTCAAAACTCCACTCTTCATGGTGGCAGGTGAGAAAACAGCAAAAGACAGTATTTATCCAGCTAGTATCCCACATTTGGCAAGCATGTATTGATTGCCAAATGTGGTATTTCACTAGGTGTTGGGTACTGAAATCCAGACAATGAAGTATCACAGGTACAATGAAAAGTACAGTGGGGACATTTAAGAGAGGAAGGTCAGTTCCAGGTGGGAGGTGGTATTGCTGAAGATGAGCTTCGAAAGGTCAGGCAGTATTTGCCTGGTGAACAAAGTAGGAAGGACATTCATTCTGTTCAAATGTATGCACGTGTGTGTAAATAGTTACACATGTGAGGTGTTACTACCAACTAGTGGAATTGATTCCACAGGCGATTCATGAAAAATAAATTTTACTGCTTTTAGAAGAATATATAAGTAAATCATAAAGACCAATGCAGACTTAAATTAGCATTCTTTTTTTCTGTGCTGAAGATGGAGCCCAGGGCCTTGAGCACACTAGGCAAGTGCTTTCCACTGAGATAAACTCCAGCCCTTAAACCAGCTTATTAATTGAACCAAGTTCCCAAATGGAAGTCGTTCATTTGTTTTTAGCTTACATCAAACCTTGCTAAGAACTATATTTTTTAAAAAAGAAATATTAAGAGTCTCTATACATTCTATAACAATCAATACTGGTCAAATCCACATCCACTTGTGGAAATCGAGCAGGATGAAGTAATGACTAGAATAAATTATGAAGACCTCAGTTTATACCAAGGATAATTATAGTATGCTGGAAGAAGTAATCATATGACCCTAGTGAGTAATTCACTAGTAGTGATTCGCTATTTGTTCATATTATCCCCCAGACCTCTGCTATTTAGGGTAAGCCTAATGTATAGGCAGATGGGCAGCCCCCTACCTGACATGTTATGATAAGAGTAGCCCTGTTTAATTATTTCCATTACCTACTTCTCTCTCACTTCCATCCTCCTGACTCTACCTCCTATAATTAAGCACTACAGAGAATGTGATCAGAGACATAAGGTTAGATAAGCCAAATGAAGGCTGTGTGTCTATGCATTGGGTTTCTGTGTTCTCTGATCTGACTCCAAGAACCAAGAATCATAGAACCAAGCTTGCAATGTACAAGTTGTGGAGTAAGATTTAATAAATGTGTTCCAATTTATAACTTCCTCAGCTCCAAAGTCAAGACTGGTTGCCAAGCCCAGTGTGACTCTTTAGAGAAGGGATAGAGTGGTAGACTTTCTTTCCAGAGCAGCATCAGGTACTAAGAGCCTTTGAAACCTTTTTGTTTGAGTCCTCTAAAAGCCAGAACAGAGCCACATGGAGTGCCTTCAGCCTCCTCATCCCAGGCCTTCTGTTCAATATTCTTTGAACTTGAAAAGCCAAGGGAAGCCATTCTCTGGAAATGGTCCTCTGTGGATAGGTCAGGAGAGACCTCTGCCCCATTCTTTTGCAATCTTTCTGGGACACTTGATTATGGGTCACACAGTAATTTCACCTGGGACATAAATCCCTTTAGCCCAGACTCCAATCCACTTTATAATCTAGCATCCCATGTATACCTGCTTTTGCTTACAGAGAGGTGATGAAAATGACATCAGATCCATTAATTACTACCCAGAGTCGGCTTCTTTTGACCTTCGCTACTACCCTTACTACGGCAAACTGACTCACGTAAGTAAGCTGTATCCCTTTCCTTCTTTGCAGTCAAAAAGGGCTCAGATACAAAGGAAGAGCTGTCTGAGATTTATTAGAATTAGGAAGCAACAGGTAGTAACAGACTGGTGAATAGCTGAGGTCCATAACCAGGAGCTCCCTCTACAAGTTCATATCACAAATATATGACATTCCATATCTGAAAAAAAAACTCATATATTGTGTAGTGTAACCACTTCAGATTTCAGATGGGAAAATTGGGGTTCAGAGAGAGGAAGTGACTTGCCTAAGGTTACACAGCTAATTAGTGACAGAGCCAGGAGCAGACAAATTAAGACACCATTGTGCTTAATCATGCCCAAATAACCACACTTCTTTGTTTCTCCCATTTGAAGCCTTGGGGCAGAGATGGCTTCATCTCCAGCACAGGGACTTGATGGATATTAGTTATGGTCTGATTCATGGTCTGATACCCAGAAAATCAAATCATTCGAGTCAAGAATTGGTTTTCCCCAGAGGACAATCAGACACCTGACAGTGACTTATGAGAGAAATGTGTAATTTCCCCACACTTTCCTAAGGCAGGGAAAGCATGTCAGTTGTAGCCATTTGTGACTTGGCATCATGAGATTTACTCAGTACCCATCCTGTACTAAATATCTGATCATTCCCCTTCTACTAACTCCCCCCACTTAAAATTAATTGTTCTTTCCCTTACAGGTTAACTACACCTCCCCACTGGTAGCAATGCACTTTACAGACGTGGTGAAGAACCAAGAGGTACCTGTGCAGTGCCAACTGAAGGGCAAAGGCATCATAAATGATGTCATTAATGATCGTTTTGTGGGTAGGGTAATTTTTACCCTGAACATAGAAACCTAAGAACTCCAAGGGGCCACTCCCACCAGTTCTATTCCTGTTTTATTTCATGTTATTCCTAGTAGCACCTGAATTCTTATTCTTCAGTTAGGACACAGCCAGATGGATGCCTAAGATAGCAGGTCATCTTTCCTTGCCTTTGATATATGTATGAAGTGATATTGTGGGAGCTGTTTGATTTTTTAAAGGTAGTCTCTCCTGATGACAAATAGAGCATATTAATTTGCTTTCCCTCCACCTAATACAAAACTCATTCTTGCTGTTAGAAACCTCACTGTTGTGTAAACATAGTATCTGATAAATTCTTAGTAGCCATGTTCAGGAGAATGTCTACAATGCTTATAAATTCATCATGTTTCCCAAAATTCAGTTGGTTTTAAAGGTGAGATTCCCCCCCCCCACACACACACACACCAGGCTGATAATCTAATTCCCTCTCTTTTTTATATGCCTGGCAAAGTTTTACCTTGGGAATCACCACTTAGACCAACCCAAATTACACCTAGGGCCACTATATCTATAGAACTCCGTATCCAGGGGTGCTTGAGAAACTGACTCTCACAGGCAACTAAATACTGATTCAAAACTAGGTTATCTTCAACTGGAATAGAAAGCAGTAATAACTGGATATTGTTCTGGGATTGAGAAGACCTTTTGTGGGACTTTTTTTGGGAGGTGGGACCCACTGCAATTGGGGAGAACACTTAGCATATGGATGCAATTGGTGGTTGATTCCATGCTCTATGGTATAATTGTCCAAAGGCATACATTCCTGAAAATATGTTTGGCTGAGCTCCAGGCAGAGGAGAAAACATGGAATATCTCCATCAACTAATTCTTCTTGGGCTATTTGCTTGACAGTAGTAAGATATTCTTTGAGACCATCAAGGATGGGTTTGTTGATTCCCAACTACAGCCCTGGGAATTGAAATCAGCTCTGGGAATTGACATACATGGCAAGACAGAAAGATCCTGTCAGGCCACCCTGAAGCCAAGGCTCATTAGCCAGTTTTAGGTTTACTTTTAAAATGACATGAGGCAGATGTTCATCCATGTTGTGGATGAGCCAATTCCCTTGTCTTATCTTTGGCCATGTGACCATTCCATTGCTGCTTAACACCTCCACCAGGGGGAGAGCTGGGACAAAGAGAGAAGGCAGGGGAAAATATCATTAGTGTCTCAGGGTCCAAAGCAAGCTTAAATGCCACTTAGAAGCATCCAGCATGTGAATCTCCTCTACAATGTTTACTTTCTCCCAAAACAGGGAACTGGCAGTCTGGTAGTGAAGACAAGCAAGTAGAAAATGAATTATGAGACAGTGTAACAAGAGTTATAAAATGAGTATGTGGAAATGTTATGGGGAACATGAGGAAAAAGAACTATCTCCAGGTGAGAAGTAGAAGGAAGTTTCACATGCAAAGCCACAATCATGAAAAGACCATATCATGTTTTGGTCACTGTAAATTGGACTATAAAGAGATCAGAAGGAAATGGCAGGGAGTGGCAGGAGACTGAGCTAGAGAGGTGTTCAGAGACTTTGAATATTATTCAGTAGGTGTAAAATAGTCTTTAAAGCATTTTTATCAGGAAAGCTCCATGATCACATTTGCAATTTAGGAAGAGCACTTGGGTAATCACAACATAAAGGGTATATTGGAGCAGGACCCATTCAGGGAATGGGGAGAAGGAACAAAAAATGTCCCCAAGTTTCTGAGTTTGGCTAAAACCAGTGAGACGGTGATGTTGTTGATCAAGACTGGGTATAAGAGAGAAGCAGGTTTAGAGAGGAAGTTGTTGAGATCAGTTTTGGACATTTTAGGTTTGTGGTTTCTCTTGGTCAGACATTGATGTGGAGATACAAACACATATAAAGTTGGAGAGAAGGAAAGCTGAGAACAAAAACAACATTTGGTTAAGTGAACTCACTTAAGAAATCCTAAGCTATTTAATCTTAGGAATTTGAGCCAGTTATGTAAACATACTACACCAATTTCATCCCTAACATAGTGATTTCTCTTGGCTTTGCGGCAGAAAGGACTGCTATTGCTCTTCAGAATCTCCTTCCCAGACACTTTCCAAGTTTTATTAACAGAGTAGAGGAGGACTGACCGCTATTAACAAGTGATAGAAGACATACACAACAACAGATATATAGAGGAAAAAAAAAAAAAACAAAAATCAGGAAACTATCTCCTCTCAACCCATTTCTATAACAAATTCAATGTTCAAAGTTTACCTTTAAAAATAAGAATAAAAGGTAAAACACAACAACTTAACACCATTTAAAACTCAAGATTCAGTAATAAAAGAAAATAGAACATTAAATCTGGAAAGAATATTAGAGAGCATTTAGAGTGAACAACTTGCATTGCATCTGACTCCAGGTCCAGTGCTCTTTCTACTCTGAGCTGCTGCTTACCAGGAAGTACCATCTTTTTAAAAATCACTGAATGATATCCTAAGCATTTTGAAACATATGTCAAATTTGAGTTAAAATAGTTGACATTTCACGGGAATTCAACTTCTGGTGCTATATTTTATACATAATACATTATCCTGTTAAATATGTTGACTATTAGACAAGGAATTATGAATCTTTTGTCATATAGTATTTCTCATTCAATGAATTCAATCATGTCCACAATTTAAAAGTAATTGAGTACTAAGATAGTTTGTCAGCTAGGACATGAAAAATTGCTTTTTTATACAGAAATGGATTAATGAATATATTCATTAATGTTAGATTCTAACTGTTCAATAAACTTCTAGTTAATTAATTTAAATAGACTCCCATATTGCACTGTATCAGAATTTGATTTGTATACCATCTCTTGCAAGGTACTTGGTCTTACTTGATCGTCAATGAGAAATACTATTTTCAAATGCCTTCATGTTTTTGTCCATGCTGAACTTTGGTTATGATTTTTCACTCTCCACCCCTCAGAAATCATTATCCTAAAGTAATCTTTCTTAGGCATCTATTTGCTAGGATCTTCATGTAGAAAACATTTATATTGTCTTGGGGAATTGTTGACAACAATAAATTGACTTAAAAAAAAAGAAATGTATGATTTCCTCTTTCTACACTGGATCACTGATTTTCCCACAGGAATATTGGGCAGCTGTGTGGATGGAAAACTTGACAATTGACAACCTATTAGTTGAAGACTGTTTGGTTCCCTCATCCCAACTTCTGTTCACCCACAGAAGGGTAAAACTGAAAGTTGTTTCATTTCTGGGCATTTTTCCTTTTGCGGTCTCAGAAGATTGCTTCATCAGAGTAGGCTTCCTTTCCTCATCAAGGTTGAGTCCAGACACCAATTGTTCTGTTTGTTTGTGTAGTAGATGAACACTAAGAAGAACTGTGAGGTGGAAGAATGGAACCAAAGAGAAACTGCAAGTGTTTCATTAAAACCTGGCTAAGAGACTTCAGGGCAAATCCAGCCACAAACTGTCTCCCAGAGCCAATCTCTAGTAGCAACTGCAATTAAAAACAAATATTTCTAGTCAAGGTGTTGTGGCACCTGCCTGAAATCTCAGAACTCAAGATCCTGAAGCAGAAAGATTCCAAATTCAAGGCCAGCCTTGGCAATTTAACTTAGTGAGACCCTACCTCGAAATTTAAAAAATAATAAAAAATAAAAAGGACTGGGGATATAGCTCAGTGCCTAAGCACCTCTGGTTCAATCCATAGTATCAAATAATAATAATAAAGCAAATATTTCCCTTATTCAACTCCAAAGCTGCAGCAAGAATCCCTTCTTTCCTTGGAAGCTACCTTGGCCTAAGATCTACTAGGATGTTATGGTTTGATTTGGGAGGTTCCAGTGATCCCAATATATTTCTCCCATATAGGTTATTCATTAGAGTCATTTTCTTTACTAACTTCCTCTTAAAATATTCATACATAATAATAAATTAACCAAATCATACAAAAGTGTGATTCATACTGTGCTTTATTCAAGTAGAAGATAGAGACTTGGGTTCTTGTGTGTGTGTGTGGGGGGGTGAGAATAGATAGGATGGATGGAAGCAAAAGGGAAGAAAAAAGGAGTTGAAAAACTGCTTCTCACAAAGTTCTTTTAGTTGCAGGCTAGAAGGTTGATAGGGAAATTCAAAATGTTTAAGAAAGATATTTAGGGGCTGGGGTTGTGGCTCAGTGGTAGAGCACTCGCCTAGCATGTGTGAGGCACTGGGTTCAATCTCCAATACCACAAAAAAATAAATAAAGATATTGTGGCCAACTACAACTAAAAAATAAATATTTTTTAAAAAGAAGGATATATAATGGGCTCTCAATCTGGCAGGTTACTCTCCAGAATGTTCTTCTTTGCAGGCTTCTTGGTGGTCATAACATCAGTCAGGGTCCCAACAAGAAACAGCACACTTGACCATAAATGGAAGACAGTTCATTTACAAGGGATTATCTATAAAAGCATAGATGTAGGGAACCACAAGTAGTACAGAAATGCAGGGCAGTAGGAGCTCTTACCATCCCTGGACCCTAAGTTACAGAAACTAGAAATAGTTACCAGAACCTAGAAGGAGTGATTCATGTACAGGTGGCTGCCTTGGGAAGAGTGGTGACCTTATTGAAATGCTAAGATAACCCAAAGTGATCTTGTAGGAAAAGAATAAATACAGAAAAAAAAACCCAGAAGAATAAATACTGCAACTTAATTTTCCTCTTTCCTTCTGCTCTCCTGCTGGTAATTTCCTTGGCCAAATCTAGCCCAAACCCAGAAGGCAAAGAAGCCTATTGATGTGGTTCATATAGGTCAGCCTCCTAAGTAAGAAAGCAGGATGGAAAAGGGTAGAGGGTATCTGGAGAGTTAAATTTGAGATAACTACTACAGTCATCAAGTGGAGGCTCTGTGAGCAGACTCATGGCAGCCTGGTACCATGCTAGAACCATCTACTGAACCAGATATTACCAAATGTTTCTTATGGGACTAAACTGTCCCATGTTGAGAACCATTGCTCTAACCAATGGAGCAAGATTCATATGAACTATAATCTGTGGCTGCCACCTGGACCTTTTGATCTCTTTGTGTCCAAGGACCAGGAGGCAAGAAAAGTCACCATCTTAACTTGGTCACTTGATCTCACTGTCAGAAGGAGGTGGAGTTGCAGTTATACAAGGGAAACATGGGAGGAATTCTCCGGGGGTCAGTCTCTAGCAGAAGCAGCTGCTAGGTTGGCTGGCTACTCTGTCAGAGATTTGGCCAGTGAGGCGACAACATGCCCAAGTAAGTTTATTACTTACATAGACATCATAAGTAATATCAGCATAGTGTTAGCTCCCCACATCTTTATTCCCCAGGAGGACCTTGAACCATTGGAGTCAGATGACAGATGACATGACTGGTAGGTCACTCTGTTTCTGAGAGCCAATTCTACACTGCAACTGAGTGGTGTGATAGCCTGTAGCTATAAACTAAAAAAGCCAAGATGGATAGTTCCATGCCTCACAGAAGCAAGGGAGGTAGATGAGAGCCTCATTCTGTCATCCTTCTACAACAAAGAGAGCTCCATCCAAGACTACTTTCTTGTCATGTTCTTGAAAATGGCCACTGCTTTCCTTCTGTCCTCCAATTCTCCCACAAAAATCTCTCAGCCTAATTGGAAACATAAAGGAAATGGGAATGTAGCTGAACTTAAAGAAGTTTACCCATTACAAACCTACCACATGAAGTATTTTATAATTTAATCATCATGGTGAATGAAATATTTTCCCCATATCTATTTTTCCTCAGCTAGTAATAGAGGAAATTTCTTTTTTTTAGAGAGAGAGAGAGAATTTTTAATATTTATTTTTTAGTTTTTCGGCGGACACAACATCTTTGTTTGTATGTGGTGCTGAGGATCGAACCCGGGCTGCACGCATGCCAGGCGAGCGTGCTACCACTTGAGCCACATCCCCAGCCCTAGAGGAAATTTCTTTTGTTTAATCTTATAGCCTGCAATCTTGACAATTCTATTAATTATATAAATATTTATTACTGTCACTTGCATTTTCACATGAGAAAAAATAATAACTCTTTTTTGAGTATTTATTATGCTATACCATTTTCTTTTATATTGTACTTATTGGAATTTCAAAGAATATAATGTCATTCCTGATTATCTTGAAAACATTTTTTAGTGTTTTACTCTTCAAAATATTTGCTTTTTGTTTGACTTTTAAAAAATTTAATTTACTTTTTTGATTGACATATAAAATTTGTACATATATAAGAGTTACAATGTGATATTTTTAAAAATTTTTTTAGATGTATAGACCTTTATTTTATTCATTTTCTTATATGTGGTGCTGAGAATCGAACCCAGTGCCTCACACATGCTAAGCAAACACGCTATCACTGAGCCACAGCCTCAGTCTCAATGTGATGTTTTGATTCATGTATATCCATCACCTTAGGTGGGTACTTTATATTTTTTCTTTTTTTTTATTTTGAATAAAATTTAAAAAATAAGAGATTTTTATTTGAATAAGAGATTTTTAATGACATAACTTTATTGATCTGAATACCATACAGGATGCATTGTAAATGATCAATGAATATATTTTTTATTATTTTTTTCATTTATATATGACAACAGAATGCATTATAATTCTTATTAGGTGGGTACTTTCTACTCCTCTTTTACCTTGTGTTTCTATTAGGAGCATGTGTTAGTCAACTTTTCATCACTGTGACCAAAATACCTCACAAGAACAACTTAGAGTAGGAAGAGTTTATTTCGGCTTATGATTTCAGAGGTCTCAGTCCATGGTCCAGTGCTATGGCCTTGGGCCTGAGGCGAGGCAAAACATCACAGCAAGGGTGTGGCAAAGGAAAGTTGTCAGCTCATGGAAGCCAGAAAGCAGAGAAACAGCAAGGCACCAGGGACAAAATATAAACCCCAAAGGCATGTCCCCAGTAACCTACTTCTTCCAGCCATACCCTACCTGCCTACAGTTACCACCCAGTATAGTAGTTCATTCAAATTATTAATCCATCAAATACATCAATCCACTGTTTAGGTTACAATGCTCATTAATCTAATCACTTCACCTCTGAACATTCCTATATTGTCTCACACATGAGCTTTTGGGGGGACACTCATATCCAAACCATAATGGAGTATTGTTAAAACTTATGAAAGCTATTATATATGTTATTAATATGACCCTATGATATTCTCCTCTAACTAATTTTTTGTTATGAATTACATT